GACAGAACAGAACCATGGAGATGGAGCAGAGCAGAGATGGTGGAGATAATTTGAGTGGTCAAAGGTGTTGAAGGTGTCAGAGAGGCTGAGGAGAATAAGAAGTAAAAATGAAACTCTAATCATAGATGGAGAGAACATCATTGGTAACATTAAACAGGGCAGTCCCAGTGCTGGGGGTAAGGCAGAAATAAGATTAGAGGGGCTCATGGAGGGAGTGGTGGGAGAGGGGGGAACATATCTGTGAAGCAATGACGTGTACCAGCACCTGAGAAGAAGGGCAGGTTGGGGGTGGGTTAGTAGCTGTAGTTCATTGAGGATTTCTTGACGACAGCAGATTATTTGAAAGACTAGGGTCCTGCCCCGGTGGAGAGGGAGATGTTAATGATGAAGGGGAGCAAGGAGTGGCTAGGCGAGGTGTGTGATGGGATCAAGGTTTTGTGTGGGATGTGAGGGAGGAGGGAGATGAGGGAATGAGAGTGTTAACGGAGTAGAGAGAGGATAATATTCATTAGCTAGCTTTACGCATTCAGTAAATGCAGGCAAATCTTGATGATTGTCCACACGCCTCTGTTTACCTAGCAGTAAGTAGGAACCCAGTTGTTAGTCGATTGGCAGATCGCTTTTCTGGGGGAAATAATTCCTCAAAAATAATTATAATAATTTGGTCACTCAATCCACGACAATTTGTGGAACACTGCCGTGCGCAATTGGCTGCCGCGTTTTGCACACAAAATACAGTCAATACACTTTACAGTACATTCTGTGATGCGCTTTGAGACGTCTTGAAGACGTGATGAGGCTCTATATCAAACGCAAGGATTTTTATTATTATTATTGTCGGTGAGTTACAAGACAGAAATTTAGCCAGGTGGTTCAAATGATACCCGTGAGAGCAGAGTTCAAATCATTTTTCAATGTGAGTAATCTGCAGTTATTTTTGCCTCTGACGTTTATCATTGTTTAGTGGGCGTGCAAAAGGGCAGTGGAAACAGTAAATAGAGGCACCAAAATGAAGTTTAAAAATATGCTGCATTGTGTGGTGCTTTATAATGTCACATTCAACTTCACTATATGGCATTGCAAACTGTTTTTCCAGAACCAGATTGCAAAGAAATAAATTATGTATCGTGGTATGAGCAAGCCTTCATTCAAAGTGACAGAAATCTGCTTCTCTATTCAAAGCATTAACAGTGTGACAAATTGCTTTTTCACTTATTGTTAATAGTGGAAAATTTCACACCTACTTAATGATTGTAAAGCAGAATGTGTACATAAGATGGGGATATTTTAGGTGAATGTCCTAGATTGTAGAGTTGCCCTCTTGATTGATATATTGTCAAGAATATGAACCACAGGGACTAACATGGTTTATTGCTCTCCTCAAAATAAATGTTGTTCTTTATAAATGAAATGTTGGATTCTGTTCTCCTAATGTATCCGAATTGTAACTGATAATGGATTACTTTTTTGTCAGCCTGGCTCAGTTTGTAGCACCTTTACCTCCAAGTCAGGAGGTAGTGGATTCAATCCCCATGTTTGTTGCCACATGCAACTGTGGCAGCTGATTTGATTTTGAGTTCTTAGTGTAGGCTGAGGGTCTGCTGCATTGTCGGGAGTGCTGGTCTTTTGATAAGAAGTTAGATGAGGTCCTGTACACCTTTTAAGGTGGATGTTAAAGATCCCATAGCAATATTCAAAAAGCAGAGGGAGTTTCTCCTGGTGTCCTGGCCAACAATGCCCAGGTAAAATTAATCTTTCACTTTATGGCTGTTTATGGGACATTGCTGGACGTAATTTGGTTACTGTGCTCTTCTACAAATACGCAGTTTCTACATTTTACAGCAATAATAATAATCCTTGCATTTGATATAGTGCTTTTCATGTCTCAAATAGCTTCACTTTTGCAGGCAACTGTGACAGCTGATCTGTGCACAGCAATATGCCACAAACAGCCATGAAGTGAATGTTTAATTGTATTTGTTTTATTTGGGATCGTTGGCAGGATACCCAGAGAAACTCTTCAAATAATGCCATGGGATCTTTGACTTCCACCTGAGAAGCCGGACAGGACATTGTTTCATCTGAAGGAAGGTGCCTCTAACAGTGCAGAACGTGTTCAACACAGGACTGGAGTGTCAGCCTAGCCTTGATGAAGTGCCAACAAGAGTCTTAAACCCATAGCCTTCTGACTCGGAGGCAAGCGTTCTTCCAAATGAACCAGACTGACACTTGTGAACCACTTTGAGATGTCCCCCCAATGTGAAATATCAAGTACAAGGATTATTATTAAAATGCAGTTCAGGATACTGGAGTTTATTCATTCATACTTTACAGTCGATGTGAAATCAAATTCCAGCAGCAGCAAGTAATGACTATCCACGTGAAACTTGTTCTAAACATATCATCAACCTAATGAGTTGTGAAGCACAGTGTGACCTTTTCAGTGTGATTTAATGAACAACATTATACAAAGTCTGGAAAATGTCTTCTTGGCAATGGCAAGAGATCGTAGTGTATTTTTTGCGAGGTTTCTCCTCCTTCATGCACCCATCTTGAAATGTGCTCCTTTTAGCTGGGAGATGGTTACCCATGTGCCAGCAGACTTATGGTACCCTGCTCAAGTGGCTATTCTTCAAATGTGAGCCCAGATAGTGATTGTTGGCAGGTAATTGAAAGGTGAAAGGCATCGCTGCAGAGACTATTCATACCTGTGTCCCACCTTGACGCCGATTTGATCCTCAGCTCTCCTTTGTCCCTTAAATTTGGCTTCTAACCAAGACTGCTTTCCTCCACCCCTGCCAAGTGCCTGACTCTGCCCCTATCTCCCACAAAATGGTTTGCCAGTGCGCATCAGTAGATTAAATCATTTAGAAATATCTGAGACGTAGCAGAGAAATGTGAGATTTAAAGATGCTAGTGGTGCCAAATCAGATTGAAACAGTCAGCAACTGCAATATATGACATTGGACAAATATGAAGTAAAGTACCTAAGCCACTGTCCCCAGTCTCTTATCAGAATACATCTTTGGGATAAAAAATAATCTTTATATGGCTCATTACTTAGAGTAATTCATTGCTGGCACCTGTTGCAGTCACTGCAAAAAATTTTTTGATCAATGTGCCTGTCAAATAAATAACTTCAATAATACGGGTATTGATTTTTCGACTATCCAACTATTAAGAACTCTATTGCTCCTCCATACAAACAATTCTTCTACAGTTCATTGAAATTTATATGCACTCCCATGAACATTAGAAGAAGCGAGTGGGCTTAGGGAAAGTCAAGCCAAAATGAATTCAGGCTAACTCTGGTTCTGGATTAGCTCAAGAGCAGCACAAATAGACCAGATAGAGCGAAGACAAAAGTTATATAAACTTAGTAATTGCAATGCTAACATTTGTATGCTGCATGTTTGTAATGCACCCCTATAAGCACAAGTCTAGTGTATGGATAAGAGTATTCCAGGATAGAGAATAACCAAGAACACTTCCCTGAAAATTAAAATTATTTTTGTGTTGGTGTTGTGACTGCCGCAAATTGTGGCATAATTCTTTTCAGAAGCTTTCCCAACTTTGGAGTCCGGTAGCTTAGTGGTTAGAGCACTCACCTCGCAAGCAAGAGACCTGGATTCGATTCCTGGCAGGGCGAAATGTTGGGCAAGTTTCCTTACTCCACAAGCTTCTGTTTACCTAGCAGTAAGTAGGAACCTGATTGTTAGTTGATTGGCGGATTGCTTTTCTGGGGGTAATAATTCCTTCAAAAAAAATAATAATAAATTGATCACTCAATCCACGATTGGTTGTGGGACACTGCTGTGTGCAATTTGCTGCCACATTTCACCCACAAAATATTCAATGAATTAACTTTATCGTATATTCTGTGAAGCGCTTTGAAACGTCTTGAAGACTTGATAAGGTGCTATATCAAATGCAAGGATTATTATTATTATTATCCTATCTTCATTTGCAAAAACTATTTTTTTTAAATTCTCACTCGTCTGTGGCAGGTATGACTGACTACCGAGGAATACCTTGAGAATGTAAGGACTGCTGTATTTTGTAAGGAAAGGAAAATGTCTCCGTATTTATTCATATGGTGACATAAGAGAAACTTGCATTCTGATTCAGTAAACCCTCAAACAAGTTGAATTATGAAGCATGTACATTTATTCCAGGGAAATGTGTATGTTATCCAAAATTGCGCATTCTGTGTGTGTGTGGTTTGCAGGATATACTATGTGATTTATGGAACAAGTCAAAGTGACACCTGCTCCTGCATGATTGGGGTACACAATTCACGTTTAACTGGAAAGGAACTAAAAAGTATTTGGGTCTTATGTGAACACAAACATCGAGACTTTATTTGTAAAATAGTATTTCAAAAGCGAGGAAAAATATTCAGAGTCAGTGGAGAAAAATTAACAGAGGAAAGGAGAGCCAGAGGAGAGTAAGAAGGACAAAGACATAAGCAGTTTTCTGGTCCGCAGAGGCAATGATTGACTTAGCCTTAATGCTTTGAAAGTGTTTTTCCTATTACCATGTTTCCTGCTCTTGATTTCTATCCATTAATCCCTTCAGGAAAGTGTGGGCATTGGGAAAGGACAGCATCTATCTTGGCTGTGGTAACTCCTTCCCTATTGTTGGAAAACACTTTTTGGGTTCACGCTTATAGAATGTAGTTGTTTGGGTAATGTACCAGAAGCAGCAAGTGCTTTTGAAACTATAATTGCAGCCTGAATCAGTGCCCACACATATAATATATATATTATAAAAATTGCATTTATATTTAGCTTTCTCTTTATTAACACTTAATGTTTATGAATGTTTTAGAATAATTTGCATTGTTCTTAATGTATTGATACCTACCATGTCTGGATCTGTATGATGCATGAAGTGACTGAAAACCTGCTTTCGAAAATATGTGAATAAATTACAAATGGACAGCAAAGAATGTGAACTAATAATGCATTATTTCTATATATGTTTTTTCATAAATGCAGAGTTTGTGCCACAAGCATTTGCTATGCCACTGTCCCAGGTGATTGCCAATGATCGAGCTCAGAAACAAAAGCAGGACGCTTTAAAAGAAGAGCAGAAAGAGAATTCAGATCTGGTGATGTCTATCTTGCCATTTGGGAATAAAAGGCAGAACAAAGAACTCTCAAGCAGTAACTCATCTCTCAGCTCAACCTCAGAAACTACAAATGATCCAACGTCACCTAATACCCCGGAGGCAGCTCCACGTGTGAGAAGACGGGTAATATATTGAACTCATTTCACAGTATTGTTAAAGTCTGTCCTCGTTGAGAAAGAAAACACATGGTCTCTCCCACCAATATGTACATTTGTGTTTTATTTTGGCATTTTATTTCAGGCACCATAAATTGGCTACTTCCTGCTGCTGAAAAATGCAAATTGTAGTGTAGGCCTATTTGAACTTTAACTGACAATTTTCACATTATTCAGGATTAGTAATATTATTAAACATGACTAAAGAGTCAGTCTTTCTACTATCATTGAACAGGTTTGATGGGCTGAATGCCTGCCCAGCCCTTCCTGTTTTCCTATGTCCAATTGTTAAATGACAAGTTGATGATATTAAACTCAAAGTCTCAATTTTTGGTGTGACGTGAGCACAAAATGCCAAAATTTGGATAGCGTCCCGGAGCGCTTGACAATGGCAGGGTCTGACAACTAGCCAGGGAGAGAGGGAGTGGGGAGGTGACCGAAAGCACGATCAAAAAGGAAGGTCTTTAGGTGGATTTGAAGGTTGGGAGGGGGCAAAGCGGAGGGATTGAGGGAGAGAGTTCTAGAGTTTTGGGCCACAGTGGCTGAAGGCATGACCACCGATGGTGGTATCGGAGGGGACAAGGTACAAACAGGAGGCTGGAGCCAGCCGATCGGAGGCAGGGGTGGTAGAGTAGGGGGTAAGCAGGTCGGATAGGTCGGGAGGTATGAGGGAATGAAGCGATTTGAAAACGACTGAGAGGATCTTGAAATCGATCTGTTCGGTAATTGGGAGCCTGGCAAGGGCTGGTGTGATGGGGGTACGGAGTTTTGTGCGGGGGAGTATCTGGGCGGCGGAGTTTTGAATTAATTGTATTTTGTGTATGGTGGAGCTGGGGAGACCAGCAAGGAGGGCATTGGAATAGTCCAACTGGGAGCGACGAAGGCATGGACGAGGGTTTTGGCTGCATTGGTTGTGAGTTACGGACGGAGGTCGGCAATGTGGCGGAGTGAGCAATGTAAGCTCATTTTCCTATCCTTATGTTGATGTACTGCCAAAAGCAAAGTGGTTTCACTGCCTGCAGTACAACAGCTGCATGAGTGTAATCAGGAAACACTGAGATGAAGTTTGGACAAATTCTGCTTTCCCAAAATGGTGAATGTTCTTAAAGGGGAATGGCTCACAATCGGAGGCGAGCCATTCCCCTTTAATTCCACAATACTTTTTTTGTAAATACAGATTAATATTTTTTCTTTTTAAAAAAAACTAACTTGTATTTACAAAGACTATACTGATACTTTATTAAATGAATTGAGGATAATTGCAAATCCTTTTAAAGAAGATGGATTTCTGCAACACTTACTCCATCGCCCTGTCAGACTCTGTAACACTTCCTTTGTTGACATCCTCAATGCTCACTGTATAAATAAAATACTTAAAATTCCTCGGGTCCATATCCCTAACTGTCCAGCATCTTGGGACGTTCTTCCAATGTGGAAGGTGCTTTACAAATGTATATGTTGTTGTTATTTTCTGTTCAAACTTTAGGGAGACACAGTAATAAGGCTAAACTGTAATTAGCACAAAGGTCAAGAATATTTGATAATCCTTTCTAACTGAATGGCTGTGGGATATTGCTGTGCACAATTTGGCTGTCATGGTCATTTACAAATAGATAGTCACTATACTTTAGAGGAGTTACCTGTGAAGTGCTTTGAGATGGTTCGACTTTATAGGAATGATGCTAAATGCAAGGATTGTTATTATTTTTGAGTGCTAATGGCAACTTTCAAGCAACACATTGGAGAGTAAAAGGATATACCTCTCTTAGGGATGAAAACCTACATCCAAGAGGAAGGAGCGTACAATTAGAGAAGACCTTTCCATCTTTTTTTAAAAAAGTTGTAAAAAGTTACCAAACATTCTTGCCTTTTATGCCACTTAATTTCCAAACAATTATATTCTGTAAAGTTCTTTGAGACATTTATTTTTAAATGAAAAGTGCTATTAATAATACTGTAGTAATAATCCTTGCATTTGATGTAGTGGTTTATCATATTGTCAAGACATCTCAAAGCGCTTCACAGTATTCTGTAAAGTGTAATGACTTTTGGTGTATTTTAGTGTGTTTTGTGGGAAAACGCAGCATCCAACTTGCACTCAGCAATGTCCCACAAGCAGCCTAGAGTAAGTGACCAGTTTTAACTGGGAGAATGTTGGCTATGACAAAATACAGGTTTTTTTTAAATTTCTGTCCACAGTATCTTGTATTTATCTGCATTGAATTTTATTTCCCAATTAGTAACACATGTCTAAGTCCTGTCAAATTTTGTTTAGGATCTTTGCTGCCTATGATTATTTCACAGACTTCTTTCCAACCTCAGTTTTAGCTTGGCACTACCTGGCAGTGGATCTGCAAATTCAGATCAGTTTTCTTTACTTGGAGATCCCAGTGCACAATTCTGACACCATCCTCTGCTTCACCCTGAACTCCCGCCATCAGGAAGTAAAGGAAGAGTTCAGTAATCCAATCACAAAATTCATTGCCTGTCTACTTCTATTAACACTTCAAAGTTGCTACAAATTATAATACTAGGAATAAATGCTATGGTACAAGACATTGTTGCTCGAACTCTATTGTATTAAATTTCCAGTCCACCTAGAGAGGACTTTCTAGTCTCTTTTCTGTTCTGTGTTTTGTGTGATAGGAAAGTACAGAACTGTACGAGGAACTTACGAGTTGATATCTACACTGCCTAGTCTCAAGCAGTCAGATAAACAATTTGACATTTACAATGCTGTGAATAAGAGTGTGCACTAAAAAAAAGATGCACTTAACACAAAATTACCCGTATTATTTATTATATATTTAACTAAAATAGAGTTCCACAGAAATTATTTGGGATAATATTTTTGGCTCCAGGTTCCCTTGCCCCCCTCAGCCCTCCAGGACATAATTTGATTCTTTCTCTCAACTAGGCTGAGCAGAATGAAAGATGAGGACATTAACATCTTTGTCACTAGTTCCGATGCAAATGCATTTGATATAGTGCCTTATCATGTCGTTGAGACATCTCAAAGTGCCTCACAGGATACACTGTAAAGTGTATAGGACTGTGTATTTTGGGGCAAAGGCGGCAGCCAATTGCACATAGTAGTGTCCCACGAATTGCCATGGAGTCAGTGACCAATTTCCAGATTTGTTGGCCAAGACACCAGGAGAATCTCACTTTTCTTCGAATAGTGGCGTGAGATCTTTAACATCCACCTGAACAGGCAGACTGTTGGTTTAACGTCTCATTGCCCTGTATAAAATGCCCTGGAACTTGGTTGAAAAGGTTGGGGAAGGAACTTGAGCTAAAGAGTTGTGTGTATATAATATATGTGTATACAGTATGTACATGAGATTATATCAGATATTCTGTGGGGTTTCTATGGCAGTTTATTGCATTTGTGAAACTCTGAGCTAATCCCTAAAGATTGAGAGTTGAAGGTCACTGAGCTAGATTTGTTGCACCATATGTGCTAAACTATTTAACCCTTCCCCTTTCTCTGACTTCATTATTGTTTGAATTTTTCTCCAGGGAGGAATGTCCGTGGATTCCATCACTGACCTGGATGATGATCAGTCTCGATTACTGGAAGCTTTGCAGCTTTCTCTCCCAGCGGAAGTGCCGAACAAGAAGGAAAAGCAAAGGGACAAAAAACTAAGCCTAAATCCTATTTATCGTCAGGTTCCTAGGCTAGTGGACAGCTGCTGTCAGCATCTAGAAAAATATGGTAAATATTATTCTAGTAACCCAAATCTTTAATCATTTCTGACAGGATGATGGATAGGTTATATTTTTGCACCATTGAGGTAAACTTAAAGATGTCTGGAAATTTAAAAAATCCCCTTTATAGATTTATTTTTTAGAAATTAAAAGCAAATATTAATGTAAATGTTTACAAAACAAAAATGAGATGAAGGCTACCAAGAAAGTGTTCAGAAATTGTGTCAAGATTGTGCAGTTTCAGTTGCTCTCATATACTTGACCGATATACATATACTTAACCGATAAGTAATGACCGATCTTGGTTTAAAAAAAACACAGAAATTTCAGTTTCACAAGTTAGCTGACTAAATATTTGACTCGAGATATGGGAATGAAACTATTAATTGGGAACACAAAAAAACGCCTTTTTGTCAGGGATAAAGGAGATGTCATTTGTGGGAGGCAACCATACTGGGATCAATACTAGAGGTTGTAAGTTTTGCTAAGTAGGTTGGAGTCTCTCTTTTGGTGATTAGAAAGAAACTAAGCAGAACTTTCTCTAAGGATATTAAATACGTACCTAACTATGCACAGTCACACAAAGGCTTAGAGCCTGATGGCTTCTTTGATTTTTATTTCAGTGTTTTAAAAACGATCGTTGGCTTACTGAAAAAAATTAGAAAGGGCCAAAGTTGAAACTAACATAGGAGGTAAAATAAGGTAAATCTGTTGCACTGGCTAGACAATGCAAAGATTAGACTTTCATAGAATCATAGAATATTACAGCACAGAAGGAGGCCCATTTGGCCCACTGTACCTGTACCAACTCTTTGGAAGAACTATCCAAACAGTTCCACTCCCCCACTCTTTCCCCATATTCTATTAAGTTTTTCCTTTTCAAGTACCTATCCAATTCACTTTTGAAAGTTAGCATTTCGCCCACGAATATACAGTCAATTCACTTTACAGTATATTCTGTGAAGCACTCTGAGACATCTAGAAGTCTAGAAGACGTGAAAGTGTGTTATATTAAATGCAAACATTATTGTATTATATTATAATTGAATCTGTTTCCACTATCCTTTCAGGAAGTGCATTCCAGATCGTAACAACTTGCTGCGTAAAAAAAATGTCTCCTCATCTCCCCTCTGGTTCTTTTGTCAATTATTTTAAATCTATGTGTCCCGGTTACCGATCCACCCGCCAGTGGAAACAGTTTCTCCCTATCTACTCTTATCAAAACCTCTCATAATTTTGAACATCTGTATTAAATCTCCCCTTAACCTTCTCTGCTCTTAAGAGGAACAATCCCAGCTTCTCTAATCTTTCCACATAATTAAAGTCCTTTATCCCTGGTACCAAACTATCTTTAAAAGTTTGATAGTTTAGCAGGAAAAGACTGAGGAAGGTAAGACTTGAAATTATGTGAATAAATTATTTGGAGTAAGTAATTTGAAAATAGTGTGCATTTCATTTCCATGAGGATGCAAAGAGGAAAAGCTTGTAGTGTAATTGTGTTTTAGGAGGAGTAATGAAAACTAGATGTAGACACACTGAAGGAAGAGGCTATACCTGTTTATTTCATTTGCAAAAGTCATGAAAAAACTGTCCTCAAAGAGTTGAATGAATGACATCTTTATTCCTCAATAAAGGGCATAAAAGAGATAAATAATTAGACTGAAAGGAATGAAGGTTGTTTGCATTGAGGAAGAAATCAAGATAGCCAAAATATAACTTTGGTATGATGATAAATTCTTTAGAGGTATATTGGTTTTGAAGATGTTCAATGAATTGATAAATTAATTGCCAAAAGTGTTCAAGAGCAAAGTACGAGATGTGTGTAACATAGGCAAGAAGATGACAAGAGGAGCTATTATGTCAAACACGATACTAACAGTCATGGATCAGATTAGAAATGTCAAGGGGTTGCAGAATTCGGTTTTAGTGTCTGATTCAATATTCGCGAATTCTCTTATGAACTAACGCTTTTTTGACAACAGTAACAACAACTTACATTTATATAATGTCCCAGAGCGCTTTATAACATTTATAAAAAGACTCATTAAATATATTATGAGACACAAAGGGCAGCCTTTGCAATAGATTTTATTCATGGTTTGTGTATGCTTTTTTTTGTTCTATATTAATCCTTCTCACTGACAGATGCTTTGCTGGCAGCTCCTGGATATTTTATTTAGGATGCATCTGATCCCTAATGATTGGGTTACTGTATGCGGCATGTGCCTGATCTATGATGATCTAAATCCGGTTTGTGACATTTTTCTGATCTCCAGTGGTCTAGTTCTTGAATATGACTTTGATCATTGGACATCTTCTTAGACTTGGGCTTGGACTTCACATAAGTCTAAATCTTGAGAATCTTTTGAAGCTAAAAATAAAGAAAAACTAAACAGCCTCATGACAAATTAGTTCCAAAATGCATTGACAGGCCCAAAATATCAGGACAAATTTGTTCTGTTTCTAATTATCATAGTAATTAATTATAGAATGGAAGCAGAATATCTGATCTATATATACAATGTTCTTTAATTTTGACATATGTCATCACGAGGCCTTGTTTTATACTGTGCAGTCATTTCCTTATGTTTCTGCAGGTCTTCAAACAGTAGGAATATTTCGAGTTGGAAGCTCAAAGAAAAGAGTACGACAGGTAAGGTTTCTGTTTTTTGATTGGTTACTAAAGCACATTCTCAAAGTAAATCAGGATAGTTCCATCCTTCCAATTCTCCTGCTTTTGGGGTCTGGTTTGAGACACAAAACTATATTTATGAAATGTTTTGGTCTTTTATTTCCACTCTATGAATGCAAGTCAATGGATAATCAAGTAAGATTTCAGATAAAAGAAAACCACTTGTTACAAAATACCATCACCAAATTTGTAGCTAACGGATCTTATTTTCTCATCTAAAGGAGGTTAAGTATTAAGTAACAGTCTGGGAAAGGATAACTTTGGAAGAAAAACATCTTATGTACCGTATTTATCCCAATTCCATCTTTCCTTTGTTTACCATTGCTTGCCACAGATATCTAAAATGCAGTGGGTTACCATCAAATCCCCTTAAAAAAGTACTGTTTGGTTTCTGTTTAATATTGGTAAATTCTGCTGTGTAGATATGAAATGTTCGAGATGCCTCTTTTTTGTCTGTAATTGAAATTGCCAATTTCTAATGGAGTTTCAATGTAGAGGTACCTCTGTATTGGATGTTGCAGGACCCAAAAATGTTAATCTGATGTGAATGAATCGTTTATTGTGATTTATAATATGTGTATCTTCTCACATGAAAACGCTTTAAAGTTTCTCTCTCCCACACTTATAGCATGACTTGGCCTTATTTAAATCATACTGTCATCCTGTTGTCCCAATGATTCCAGTAAAAAGCATTCCTGGTTTCAGCGTCAGTTGTAAACTGCCTTTTATATCAGCAGTTTTACAGCTCAGTGTTTTGTTCTGCCTCGTTGTCAAGAGTTTCAAATTGTCCCCTATTCAGAGCTTCTTAATTCTTGGCATTGGGGCCAATGCATTAGCGCTTAATACTCGACACAGCCCTGTGCTGCGTGTCAGATGACTGTTTGACAAGTGATACTTAAAGAACTTCTATTCCTTAATTGGAATTGTTAGTGTTAATGTTGACACTACCAACAGAAGTGTTTTCTAAAATTTAATTTTAGCTGGAGTAGCATTACTGCTGCACCAATGTTGAGAACGTGGTTGGGTTGAGGAGCCTGCTGCTGGGAATACCCGACTCTCTTCAGGAAGTTATACCATGAGGCTCACTGTTGTGTCTGTTGCTAGCTGACGTAGACACAGGGTTGAAGCCAGATGGATTGGTGCATTGGGAGTATTAATTCCCTAATTAAAACAGAAAACATCATCACTGGGAATGAGGATGCATCAAAATAACACTGAAGAAAGCTGCTGCTTTACAGAGTTGGAATGCTTGTAAATTCTTACATAATAAACTGAGGTATTCTTTGAGAACCACCAGTGTGAGCTTTTATTCCATGGAATGAAAGTATTTCAGATGAAGATATACAGAACATACAGTACATACTTTCAGTACTGAAGTTTTTCTAGGATTTTAGGGTCACAGTGAAGTGCAAATCCCACTTTGAATTAACATTTGCCAATATTTGAATCCATGTTTCTCACATGAATTTTCAGTCAAACTATGAATTTTCAGTTTGAGTGTGACATACTATTTACCTAGTTTGTGTTTATGATTCTGAGAGTCAAAGTAGGACCCGAGGGGGAAGGAAAGGTGACTGAAGGCATGGTCAAGAGGAAGGTTTGAGACTAGCCCTGAAACGTTGAGGGAAAGGGTGAGTCACAGGGACTCCAGGTTGGAGTTCAAGAGAGTGGTGGCAGGTACTTTGAAAGCCTGACCACCAATAGTATGTAGCATAATGCAAAAATGAAAATCAGTAAAAGCTTCATCACCCATTGGCTCTTTGAACCCTTTCTGATTGTTCCATCCACTGAACTTTCATGTCAATAATTGAATCTTATTAAACAGTCATTTGCTGGCTCTATCTATAACAATAACTATGTAATAATAATAATCATTGCATTTGATATAGCGCCTTATCACATCTTCGAGACGTCTCAAAGCGCTTTACAGAATATACTGCAAAGTGAATTGTAAAGTGAAAGAATTATTACTCCCAGAAAAACGATCTGTCAATCGACTAACAATCGGGTTCCTACTTACTGCTTAGGTAAACAAAGGTGTGTGGACTAAGGAAACTTGCCCATCGTTTCACCCTGCCGGGAATCGAATCCAGGTCTTTTGCATGCAAGGCGAGCGCTCTAACTACTGAGCTACAAGACTCCACTCTCAACTAACGCTCAACTTTTTAGTTCTGTGCATGCCTGGTGTGAGGCTGTGGTGTAAGCTCCGTGGAATCTTGTCTCAAATAATGCCCTTTGCAGTTCTCAAGCACATCATGTGGCTGAAATTGATGTTGTACATTGCACTTTTGCTAAACCCCATAAAACATTTTGCTGGTGGACAACAGTTCCCCTTTGATATAGTTTTTTTCCTCTTACAAATGGACTCCGCAGAAGAGCAAAAAACTATATTAAAGGGAAAAAAAATTGTATTTTCAGCTTCTGTCTAAAAAATAATCAGCTCTTCAGGTTCTCTTTATGATGTTGAGTGCACAAATATCCAATAAAGACTGAGGCTTTTAAGAGGATTCAGAAGGGTACACTAATGAAACGTGCGTCACGATAGACCATACTTCGCGATTTCATTTTCAATTACTTTTGGATCACAAGGTTTTGATGTAGAAATCCATTAGTGTTCTTATCATAAGCTTGAGTATGTTCTAAAAACAAGAGCTGCTTGGCTCTCCATTCTGTATACTGAGGAAAAGGTCAGAATTGTTAATCAGAATGCAACAGACTAATTTTTTTATTCAGTGTACACTGGCTCTTGGAGAAAGCTGCCTCTCCCATTGCTTTTAATGTTAACTAATCTTAGACTTTCTGTTTGTTTAACAACTTTCAATAGAGAAGAGAAGATTGAAAATGGAGTACAGGCTCTTAAATTGGTGATGCTTCTCATGCATTAACCATTGATTGTGGAGCTTGATGAAAGTGCAGGAGGTTTAATATTAACATTGATGCTCTGGCTTCTTTAGTTTTGAGACGTTTGCCATTTTCATAGGGTGGATCGCTTTTATTTCTCTTTCCTCCGTTCCCGCTAGAAAATGAAGTGTATCTCATAATAATTAGCATTAGATTTGGTATAACACCTTTCATATCAGGAGGACACCTCACAGTACTTCACAGGATAGACTGTAAAGTGACTGTGGGCGAACCTGGCAGCCAATTTGCACACAGCAATGTCTCACAAACAGTGAAGAAATGAACGACCATTTTATTTGGGGGATTGTTGGCCGTGATACTAGGAGAAACTCCTTTTTCATTTTGAATTGTGAACATGGGTTCTTTAGCATTCACCTGAACAGGCAGACGAGCCCTCGGTTTAACAACAACAACAAAATTACATTTGTCTCTTACCTGAACATCTCCAACAATGCAGCACACCCTGAATACTGCATTGGGGTGTCAGACTAGACTATATAGTTTGATATATGAACTATATTAGTTCCAATTCCCAATGTAGGGCTTGAACTAGCAACTTTCTGACTCAGAGACAAGAATGCTACCAGCTGAGCCAGGCTAATACACACATAAATGCAAACACATCCACATTTACTATTTTTTTATCAACCATGTGTCTATCATTGTGTTGGTCTAAAGCTAGACAGAGTTACATGTCAGAAAGAACTAAGCAAGTTCTGCATCTGAGTTTTTCTGTTCTTGACCTAGCCATGACCTATTTTGGTCCCAGTTGAGTCTTGTTGTTTGAACTGATGAACGTTCTTATGGCAGACGTGGATGTATCCAGTGAAAAAGTATTCAATTTCCCAGCATCTCTCACAACAAGCACACAAATTCCCCTTGATGCACAAATCCAATTATGGACCTTTTTTAAAAAAAAATAAACGATGAAAAGGATAAATAATCAAAACCACATATCTTGTAGATGGAAGTTTAAATTTTGAAAAATTGGCTCTGACCTTTCAGATTTCTTTAAGATCTCTGTGTCTATTAGGAACCAAGATGTTTGTAAACATTGAGTTGATAAACTTCCCTAATTCTACTTATTTGATATTATCATCAACATAACCTGAACAATACATTTGCAATATATACATATAAAGGGGTTCTCCGTGGTTACCTGTGATTGTTAATAGTTAATTGATCAAACGTTGAATTGAGAAATAAACCTGATATTTGCAATCTACTTTGAATGTGTACTTTTTGAATTTGTGATTGAACTATCTGCGTTTTTCATTATCTTGTAGTTGCGAGAGGAGTTTGATCGTGGTGCAGATGTTGTTCTTGATGAGGAGCACAGTGTTCATGACGTGGGAGCCTTATTGAAGGAATTTCTGAGGGATATACCAGATCCTCTGCTCACCAGAGAGCTCTACACACCCTTCATCAGTGTATTGTGTGAGCAGTCAATTTTTGTTCTATACTTTGTTCATTGTTTTTATCTGGTCATTTCACCAATATAAAAAGATTTACTGGGATGATATCAGAGATGAGTGGTTTGATCTATGAGGAATCTAACAAAGAATTGGACTTAGATTTACTAGAACAGAGAAAGATGAGGGGAGACCTAATAGAAGTCCTGAAAATTTTGAAGGGGTTTTGGTAAGAGTAGATAGGGAGAAATTATTTTCATTTGTCGAGTAGTGACTAGAGGGCATTAAATTAAAATAATTTTCAAGCCACAGGGAGATTAGGAGGATTTGGGATATTTGGGATATGGAATATGCAGTGATCAAGACGGGATCCATAGATATACAGGGATATGGAAATAATTATAATAATCCTTGTATTTGATATAACACCTTTCACGTCAGAAGGATGTCTCAAAGTGCTTCACAGAATTTTACTGCAAAATGTAGTGACTGCACTTTGTAGACAAGCACATAAGGTGGATAAATGAGACTGAATGAATTGCTCTTTCAAAGAACCAGCACAGACACGATTGGATGAATGGTCTTGTGTACTGTAGAGTTCTATGGTGCCACGCTACAAAGGAAGCTCTAGTGAATAGGGGCAGGTCTAGAAAGATAATTTCTCTTGCTGTATGGGTTCCATTATGTTAATACTGAAGATTTTAAATACTAAAATTAATTTTGCTTTTTCCTCATTAGTGCTGGAACAGGATGAACAACTCAGCACTTTGCAACTTCTCATTTATCTGCTTCCTTCGTGCAACTGCGACACACTACACAGACTCATGGAATTCCTTGCTAAGGTAGCAAGTCATGCTGATGATACACTTGATAAAGATGGGCAAGAGGTAAGCATTCACACATTTTTAATATCTTAAAATTGTTTACTTATCTCACTTCTTCCTATGGAAGGCAATGACTCTTGCTTTGTATCATTTCACAGGCCCTAGCAATCGTACAATATCTCTTTCCCAAATGGTCACTCATCATCAGTCAGTGTAGACGGCGAGTATTAATAGGCTCTCTGCAGATGGGGGTCACTGTATAGTGATTAGGAGTTAGAACTATGATCTTATTCCCTTCCTAACCCAAATTTAAATTTCATTGTTAACAGTTTCATTGTTCAGGTTATGTTGATGATAATATCAAATAAGTAGAATTAGGGAAGTTTATCAACTCAATGTTTACAAACATCTTGGTTCCTAATAGACACAGAGATCTTAAAGAAATCTGAAAGGTCAGAGCCAATTTTTCAATAGTTATAGTCTTTTACTGTTCAGAAAACAAGGAGGAAGACTGAGTGATTGAGAAACTTGATTCATACTTTGAAAATCTAAGCAACTGCACATAGCTCCACTTATAAGTGTCAGATTTACATTGTTATTACGAGCCAGTCTTGTGACCATCCATTGAACTGCCTAGGAACTTTTAAGCAAACATTTCTGAGTGGAGCCACAAATTGTTTTCCCTTGATTTTCATGGCAAATTGTCATGCCACAGAAAGTGGAGAATAAACTGGGGATTAGGTTACCAACAGAGATTTCATGTACAACAACAGATTGCATTTCTATAGCGCCCTTCAGAGGGGGTAGCATTTTGGAGCATTTAACAGTGGCGGAGATTGACATTGAACTGGGGATAGGTGGGGATGTGACTTTAGGCAGTCAAAGAGGAAGGTCTTCAGGAGTGATCGGAAGATAGGGAAGGAGAAGACAAGACAGAGGTATTCAGGCAGAAAGTCCCATAGTTTTGGGGCGTAGTGGCTGAAAGCACGGCCGCCGATGGTTGAGCGGAAGGATGTGAGTTCAAGTAACATGGTGGAACTTTGAACTCACAGTCTAGGCTGACACTTCAGTGCAGTGTTATGAAGTACTTTGAGACGTCTCAATGACGTGAAAAGCGTTATGTCAAATACAAGGCTTATTATCATTTGTTGGGAGTTTAAATTTCTTAATTCTGGAAGAGTTAGTAACACTACCTAATACTACATGTGTTTTTTTAATTAAACAATTAAGCAGCTTGGTACATGCATCAATGGTTTGATTTCTGAAACCCAGTCATGCCTTCTTTCAAATTTGTACCGGTTTTCGCTCATGCCTGTTAAATGGAGTATTGCGTAGCAGCAACTGAATTAGGGAGTGGGTGGAGAAATACAGATTTAATGGAATGCCATTAAAAATATGGGTTTTCTTATCACAAGTGCGCAGACCAATTGACACGGATTTTAAAAAAAAGACCTTGTAGCTTCATGGAATGAAAGTACTTCGTCTGATATCTGTCAGGTGTACAGATACAGTAGTTGCTTTCCTTTCCTCTCCTGAAGGTACTGACTATTAACGGGGTGCACTGCCATGGGTGTAAATGTCCTCTCGTGCAACACCCAAGTAGCTGTTTATCTGTGGGCCAAGACTGGCAGATTATTCAACACACAGTTTTAAAAATATATCTTTCATTGAACAGGATAAATGTTACAAGACACATCCTTAACATCTGATCCTGCCGGTCAGCTAGAAACCTGAGGTGTACTCATCTGTGTTTCAACAAGTGCTGGATTAAGGACTCAGTGGGAGCTCTGGATCAACATTCAGGAATTATAATGCTGATCCTTGCTCCTCAGTGCAGGCTCTCACTGACTGAGCTTCAAGCTGAGGTCAGCTGAGAACATTTCGAGCCTCCACTGGACCTCAAATGTCAGATTTCCATTTAGATTTTGTGCAGTGGCTCTAAATGAGAACTTTTCTTTGTGTGCAATACATTTTTGAACTGCATGTGATGTTAAAGGCGGAAAAGTTTACATTGAATGTATTTTCCCCTCAAATTAATAGTTGTTCACAGCTTTTTTTAAAAACATTTTTTTGCATTTGATATAGTGTCTCATTGCATTGAAACTTGTCAAAATGCTTCACAGAGATTTCCTATAAAGTGTTGTGACTGTGTATTTGTAGGCAAACACAGCTCCAAATTTACCCACAGCAATATGCCACAAATAGCCATGAAGGAGTATTTTTATCTGGGGCTTGTTGGCCAGAACACCAGAAGAAACAACTCTTTGGGGATTGTGGCATATGTCCTTGGATGTCCAGTTGAGTGGCAGACAGGGTCTCAATTTAACACCTTTCTTAAAAAAAGGCAACTCTGATGACACCCTGCTACCCCATCCCTGCATTGGAGTGTCAGCCTAGTTTGAGCCAAATTCTCTACATGGGTGTTGAACTCAGAAGTGAGAGTGCTACCAACTGAGCCAAACTGACACCTTTCCAAAATGGGAGCAGGAAGAAGGAAGAGATGTGTGAACCAAAATAATCAGAGTTTGAATGTTGTTTTTTAAATAAAAATAATGAAAGTAGAATACTAAACACAAATCCAAATATCAAATTGAAGTACAAATAAGGATTCTGTATAACCATATAATTGTCTTTGTGGGAAATAGCTTATTAGACACCATAAGCTCCTTCACCAAGAATTTAATATACATTTAGTTATTGTTGGTCATAACTCTAGGGAGCCCTATGTTCCATTTCCAGAGTCCAAGGATAACTGGCAGGTGACTGGATTCTGGAATGTGAGCTTCCACATTTTCTGCTCTTAATTTTTTTGATTCCTCAGCTATCCTTATGTGTGTATCAATTTTTGCCATTTTAGGTGACTGGGAACAAAATGACATCACTTAACCTTGCCACGATTTTTGGCCCAAATCTCCTTCACAAGCAGAAGAGCTCCGACAAAGAGTTCAGCGTGCAAAGCTCAGCCCGTGCAGAGGAAAGTGCTGCTGTTATCAATGTTGTTCAGAAGATCATCGAAAACTATGAGACACTATTCATGGTAAGTGGGTATTTTTGTAAATCAGATGTTGGCAGTGCCTTGTATCTCAGTTGAGCGTAATTTATTGTTGTGTTCCAAATTGATAGAACTATCATTTCAAACTCAGTGTGAGGTCTGTGATAGGGATCTTGCAAATTTGACAGGTTGTGACGGTGATCACTTCTATCATGACGTATTTATTACATTTTAATTTCATACAATTATGCTGAGAAATATCTTGTACATTTATAGTGCTTCATCACATCTAAATGTCTCAAAATGTCTCATGGATAATTACAGTTACAATTTTTGTAGACAAACAGCGATTTGTACCAGAAAGATCCCACAGGCAGCTATAATGTGTATGATAAATTAATCTGGAGGATTATTAGCCAAGACACCAACAGAAAGCGTTATGTGATCTTTAGCAATGGAACCTTATTTAACTTCTTGTCCAAAAGATGACACCTCTGACAGTACAGCTCTTCACTGGAGTGTCAATTTAGATTGAGCTCAAATCCTGACTTGGGCTTGAACTCACAACCTTTTGATCGAGTGGGTAGCATGCTACCAATTGAGCCCGGCTAACACAATTACATGTAAAGAATATTTAAGTGTTTCAGTTGAATTTTAGGGTGAAATTACTCCTGGCTGAAAATGACGTATTTGAGTAAATTATTTCAATGTTCTCTTTTGCTCTTTAATAATTGGCTTTAAAAATGTCATCTCACTTGTACCATCATTAATTTTGCAATCTCAATCAATCAGAATGAAGTCTGTGGGTCTTGGTAGGTCCCCTCATTGGGCAATCCCCCTATAATCTTCTGCCTTGTATTTATATGAGCCCAACTGATACCCAAACAAACTTGAGTATGTTTGCGGTCAACAATAAGCAGCAGAAAAGCGTTTCTCTCTTCAGTATTAGCAACTTTCACCAACGTAAGTGTTGATTACATTGCAGAGAGAAGAAATGTGGGAAATAAGACCCCAATTATTTTAGCTCACTCACCCACCCACCCGCAAATTGCCTATTCAAACATTTCAGATTATTTTTGGTGAGATCTTATTATTTATCTCGATGCAGAATTAAAATAAAAACCTTCCTCCTTTCTTTATTTTCGTTCATCAGGTCTCCCAGTCACACTTAGCATTTCTTGAGCAAGGCTTGGATGAATTAAACAAATACCATGCTCTTCCAGCTGTGCTGCACTGAGGAGAGATAGTGGTGGGTGGGAGGGAGGGAAAGCGGAGTGGAATATATCTAGTGAAAGTGCTGTGGAACGCTACCTCACGTGAAGTGTGTTATATAAATGCAAGTTGTTGTTGTTGAAAGTGGCCCACAACTCCTGTTGCCTGTCTAACTTCAAATACAGCCTTTGCAGACCTGATTTACAGGTGTTTGGACCAAATATTTGTTGTGGAAAATGTTAAGTTATGCCACAGCTGTACTCGCAGCTCACAAAGGGACCACTGACCACCCAGACCTAGCAGTCTGCCCTTCAGTCCAACCTCAATTCTAGCAAAAAGGTAGCTAATGACCCTGCCATAGATAATAACACTCAGAAGTCTGTTTTCTGTATATATCCGTGGTACAATTTACCTTGGAAAGCATATAACTTTGCTATTTATAATATATTGCAGTGAGCACTTTCAGACTGGTTATAATGAGAGAATACTGTAACATGTTTCCAAATAATAATAAGAATCTTTACATTTGGTGTAGAGCCTTTCACATCAGGAGGACTTCCCAAAGTGCTTTACGGGATTTCCAATAGAAACCCGGTTTGCGGTCACCTCGGTAATCCAGTCACCTCACAATTGTGGGCACATTTTCACAGTCTCTTTCATTGTCAATGTTAAAAGATAGGCTGTCTGCTTCAGTAAAACAGGCACCTCACTATTCAGGACAACGGTCATTGATTGTGGCTGCTACAGTGCCTTCCTCCAGGACAAACGTGGTACAAGCACCCCCTCCGCTACTAACCCGTACACAGTGCACTCGGCCTTGGGCTTCTCGCGCTGTTTCCTCAAAGCTGCTACAGTGGCCAGAGTGGGCTCCGGTCGCGGATGCGCAGCGCGGGGAGTGTTGGGATTGCGGAAACGGCGCGAGTGGAAAATCGACTTCACCCAGCGCCCGCAGCCTAACCTGAGATCCTGAAGCCAATTCTTGGCAAGTGCTGCATCTAGAGCACATGGTTTGTGTGTACATTGTTTTGATTTAGTGACTGTTGACAAGTGCTGTAAACGTGCCACCACGGAGGGAGTTGTCCTTACGTGAGACAATGGACTTAATCAAAACCAATAAGGGCAAAAGTTGTAAACAGTTAGCTGTGATCTATGGCATTGGCAGAACACAAGTTGGATGCGTTCTCAAAGGGTAGGCTGAATACATGACGGCTTTTGTTTTAATTGGGACAGTGTCTTTATTTTAATGAAATTGCAAAGTATGGTTGTTGAATGTTCGTCACCCTCGCCCATTACCAATGACCTTAACATTACATCAGTCACCTGAATTCCCTGACCTGTTTCAGTCATCAGGTCACCTCACTAAGTAGGTCACTTTTGCCCGGTCCCTTCAGTGACCGGATTAGTGAGGTTCTACTGTACTATAAAGTGTAGTGACTGTGGAATTTTTGCAGTTCTTCCCTAATACTGAACTGCTATATCAGCCCTGATGTAGCATTGTGTTCCGTGTACTTAATGCCACCATGATGAAATTGGGATGTACATTGTTCCCACCAAATTATCCAGCGATTGTTTTTGAGAATAATATTCATTAACATCTCTGCTACGCAAATTGTTATTGTACTGTCCTTGAATAACACCATTCCCATAAACAGGCTGAGTCACACTGGCTACATTCCCACCTAATAGTAGCCAAATACAGAAGACCGAGGATCATTTTACAGAATAAAATTTTAGCAACATTTGCTTTTATCTAATTTCCCACTAGTGATTCACCCATGGCCCAACCAGGAGTTTTATCTTCCAGAGGACATTGTGGACCAGCAGAGAGATGATCCTTGGAATGTATCTAGTGAACCAGGGAATGCTGTGCCTCCATGACAACGCTCGCACTGATCATTTATCCTTGGAGCTCAGTTGGGGCAATGTACACATTTTATGATAACCAGAAGCGTTTTTGTATTATAATATAGTATCCACAAAATAAATTGCTCTTGCATGATAATCCATTATTCGAAACTTTAAAAATATAATTTCTAACTTACACTGCTGAGCGCAATTGGCTGCCACATTTTGCCCACATAATATACAGTCAATTCACTTTACAGTATATTCTGTGAAGCTCTTTCAGACATCTCGAAGATGTGATAGGGCACTATATCAAATGCAAGGATTATTATTATTATTATTCCATCAATCAGAGTGATTTCATTCGCTCCTGTAGAACAAAATGCCTAACATTTTTTTCAACCCTGTTTCTGTGTTTCAAAGCTCACGCTTAATGTGCAGGTCCTTCCTTGTATGATCCTCTAATTTGATTATACTTTCAAATTTAGAGAGCGCCAGTAACAGCATATGGATGGATGGTTAGAAACAGGTGGCAGGCTTCTCTGTGTTTTTCTCCCAAACAGTGAGAGAAATAAATCTCTGTGCAACATTTGTTTTTATCTAATCCATATTCACCCCTTTCTCTCTACACCCGTGAGTTCTCTCCCCATGAAAGATTCGTGGGAACATAGCTTGTGAATTCCTTCATAATGAATCTCTGCTGACACTGAAACAGCCAGTTAGAGTTTTGTTTCATGCTCTCCAGCTCTGGGGGGGGCCACAGTTCATAGTTATTGTTTTGACATTTGCGCTATGTTCTAGCAGAGAAACATCTGGCTTGTTTTAGGGGCATTTAACATAATGCAGTGTAAGGGAAAGCAATTGCTATCCATTTGCGCCCACTGAGAGGATGTGACCTGCGCAGCCGACTAAAATACATGACCTGCCTTGGGAATAGGAGTGCAGTACAGTTCGTCAAAGAAAAAGTGTGAAAAAAAAATCCATCCAGCAAACCTGTAATCCAAAACGATTTCAAGAGCTAGACTGTGCCAACCACTGCAGCACTTTTGTCCATGGAGGCCAGCTAAGGGTTCAAAAACAATTTGTTGTGAATGTAAAACAAAAACATCTGTTTAAAAACACATTACTAGCTAATGCTGCCTTTGTAGTCCTTTTTAAGAATTTCGAGCTTGGTTGTTTTTCTGGTTAAAATGTTGCACAGACAAAGATTTTGCCTTTAATAAATGAATCTAAGATGAGGAACCCGCGCATTTCATTCTGTCCCAACAGTGTGAGAAATGCTCTTGAGTGTCAATGGACGGGGTGGGGGGAGAGGCAGCTGTGTACAGCAGTTTGTTGGGGGAGAGTTAATAATAATAATCATTGATATAATGCCTTATCATGTCTGATAACATCTCAAAGCACTTCATAGAATATACGATAAACTAAAAGATAACTTCATCCAGATGAAGAATATCTTCCACATTTTGCACATAGAATCAACAACAAACAGTTAAATGTAGAGCAAAGTTTCCTCTACATAGTGTGAACAACAGTCCAAACCTTAGAAGACTGCACCAGTAGGATATGCTTTTCCATTTCCCATTGCAACCATTCTTATGGTCTCTCTGAGTCAGATTCCTAGTTTAGTGCCAATTTAATACTGGCTTATCCACAGTTTGGGGCTGTAAGTTTGCACACACTAGCAATTGATATTGAGTTATTAATTTCACTTTGGATCCTTACAACCAGCAGAAAGGAGACTTGCAGTGAGAAAAAACTTTCATTTCATCAATCAGATTTGGTTTGGTCCAGAGCTGAAAGCTTCTTCAAAGGTGTCCTCAATCTCAGGAGATTTTGTTTTTTGTAAAAAAAATCCAGATAGACTGAGCTTTGAGGAAGGCTTTTCATAACCTACACAGTATGAACAAGAACAGTGCTTAATCCATCCTGGCTAAACTGATATTTAGATCTTGAAAAGTGATATTTCACTCACAAATTATAGTCAA